CCTTTTCGAATTTTTTGACCTTTTTTTTGACATTCCCAGAACCGTTTAGCAAAAATGAACCCCATCGCTATGGTCCTCGCATGGACCCCTACAACATGCAACAAACCGTTTTGAAAAAGCTCACCACGGCCTGAACGACCTCCCTTGTAAGATGGTTAGGCACTCTACACGACTAACTCCAATAATGAGGTCCTTTCGGAGTCGAGCATACATGGGGACGCCCGTGTAAGCCAAATAGGGAAGTGCAAGTGGGCTCTGGCTCATACAAAGTACAAGTGAGTGGGAAGCTACTTGAAGGCAGTTGGCACGATAATCCCTAAGACGAGTAGGATGAATCGCCTGGCAAAACAGAATTCCGCGTCCCTGAGCAGGCGCTGCGCAACCGACTTCCTCTGAAGAAGGCGCCCTTATAAGGCCCATCATGCTGCAACATACCGACCCGGATGCCCACCGCGTCCGTCCGCGCACAAATGAACGACCGGTAGGTACCTGGTGCTCGTATGGCTGCATTAGCTAAGTCAGATATGAAGCGAAGGGATGATATGAAGCGACCGCGATGCTGCATGGATATATGAGAACATACATGCTGCCGTACCTACCGTAGCGGTTATTAGCAAGATGCCCATGGGAACTCGTCCAAAATTGGCTTCTGATTTATTGAGAACGGAGGCTTTTCTTCACAGGTTTTCGACCGTTTCTCTTCGTTTTTTCGCCACTTTGCCGCTCTATAGCGTCTCAGAACACTTTTCAACCGCGGAGCCTCCCTCCTCCTTCCTTTTTTCTTCCTCCTTCCTTCTTTTCCTTCTCTTCTTCTCCCTTCCTCTCCTTCTTTTCTTTCTCCCTTGAACTGCTGGACCAACAGATGGGATGGAAAATACCTCTGACCCCTCGTAGCGAGGACATGTCCGGTTGACAGAATCCTGTAACCGTTCTATAGCACAATTATCGTGTCATATGCTTTTAAAGCAGTGTAGGCGCAACTGCTGGAGGCGGGCGATTGTTGCTAGCGCCATGGGTGGAAGGGCGTTGCCACACCCCCACAAAGCGTTGAACCGTTTGACTGGACGTCGTTCTTCAGCCGTCCACCAATGACTCTGGCAACAACCGCACGCCTCTCGAAGTCGTGCCCACTGCTTTTGAATACCTGTTGGGCTATGGAGGCGAGCTTGTCGAAAATAGGGTTGCGCCTTAATCAAACGAGCAGTCGTAAGGTTTATAAACTTCACGTCAAGAAAATATGTTCATTTATGAGTCATTTCAGAGCGTCTAAATCACAGATGAGCTTTACCTCAGAGAAATCGCCGGCTGCTTCTGCTAATAGTTGTCTTGAATGTTTTTAGATGGTGGCGTGCAAGCTTGGACGATTCTACGTTAATGGAAAGCAGATGTTGGATGTGAACTATGTGCTGAAAAATGCCGACTACATAGATCATTGGGGTCATCGTCATGAACATCCAGTTAGTTTCGGTGCTTCTTTTCATCAGTTTCTATTTTAGCATCACCTTAGCGACAAACTGTGCACTCACCTTCATTGATCCTTGTCCCAGCCGTTCGGAAAAGGGGTCTGCAGCAGGAGCATTCCACTTTCTCCGCTAAAAATGTACGGGAACGGGACTGGAGGATAGTGACACCATTGGTGCCGACCCTACTCCGCCTAGCGAGTCAGGGCCTAGCCTCAGCCAGTCGTGATACTTCTCTGCGCCCTCTCTTTCCAATCTTAGTACATGTACAGTGAGTAATGTACTACTTACTCACTGTACATGTGAACTGTAGTGTAGTACATGTTTCCTTGCGGGACCTTGGCATCGACGCAAGTGCGCACCTCGAGGATAGGATTCTTGAGCGGAGAAAGTGACACTCCACTGTAGATGTGGACCCATTCGCCTCATGTCAAGGACCTTTATAGTTTGTTTTCGTGGAGGCATCTCCACTGGCGGTCCGGGTCAGTTAATGTACAAATCTCTGTTTTGAGCTTCTAGCAAGATTGATACCAGTTGACTAACCTGAAACATGAGGGACTGAAGGTTTCGCCCGACGCCGGTCAAATATTTGGTCTCCTCACTGTGCTCCTTATAAGGGGCTAGTTGCCATTGCCTCTGTCCTACAGTGATAGATATGGATTACTACTCTTACGATTCTTTATTTCGGTGCTCGACTTACCTCTTACTATCATCGCGGAAACGGACGACCTACTGGTGATTAACAAACCCCCGTCATTTCCTGTACATGCATGTGGTCAGTATGTCATTCATACGGTATTAGGTCAGCTACGGTACCACCACGACCGACATGGGCTGCGGGGTACGTTCTGATTTTCAAGTTTTTTTTCTTGCATCTTTTTCACTGATATAATTTCAAGTGCTGCATCGGCTAGATCGTACCACTTCTGGAGTGCTGATGTTTGCCAAGAACTATGAAACCGACTTTGAAGTACGTGATTCCTTCGTATTTTTCGTGAATTTCGAAAATAGTAAGATTTCTTCTGGTTGCAGTTCAAAAAAACGTTGAAGGACGGGAGCTGGTCAAAAGAGTACATCTGCATGGTCGAGGGCGACTTTCCCTAGTAAGTTTCTTTACATAATAGTAAAAAAAGCTATCCAGGATCGGCCGCTCAGCGTTTTGACATGTTGTCATGTTTTTCTTATTCTGTACGTTCTGATCACGGCACAGAAGCTCACCCAGTCCGATTTGAGTTCATGTAACCCCAAGTCTCAATCAGACTCACCATAAGCAACATTGAGGGTCTTACGGGCAACGGTTAGGACTCCACGAGAGGTCAGCCTGCCGCCGCGACGCGGCAGTTTTCGCTATGTGCGCGGCGTTTGCATAGTCCATGAGATTTCCAGTCTGCTGTATTACTTGCAGGTGTGAAAACTATGTAAGGAGTAAGCCCGATATCAACTACCAGTCTGGCTGACGCGCATTTCTGCGCGCAGGGTTAAACCTATGTTACTGATACTTGACAGGATTTCTGTGCTGAGCAGTAACACTTAGCCTAATTCCTGTGTTTCCAAACGGCCCATTTCATCATGTTTCTCCCTTTTAATGAACACTTGCCAATGTTAGGCTCATATCATATTTCTAAAATCCCATTCGTTGGAAATCGGCCCGTTTTCACCACTCGTTGCCACTACGGGGCAGGAGCGTGTGGAAATAGTGTCCGCCCCGTAGTGGCGACGAGTGCAAAAGTATGCATGTAGGGGGCTACACATAAAACTTCGATAAGCAGTGTGCATTGTTTCTTCTTTTTTTCTTTTTTTCTGGGAACGGAAGGCTTTAAAAATAAGGTATGCTCCATTCAGTGATGAGATTGAGTGCAACGAACCGATGGATACGTTGGTCATCAGCATGGGCATACAGTGTATTCGACCAGACGGCAAGACAGCCCACACTCGGTTTAAGAAATTATGGTCTGACGGGAAACGTTCTGTACTGTCCGTTAGCATAACAACGGGTCGCACCCACCAAATCCGGGTGCACGCCCAGTTTTTGGGTAAGCTGTAATGTAACGTTCGTTACCTCTTCTTTTGAGGCAACCTCTTTGTAGGTTATCCGATTGTGGGTGACCGAATTTACAACTCGACAGTATGGGGCAGTTCGAAAGGAAAAGGAGCAGAATATGGAAAGTCCTACGAGGAGGTTAGGATTAAGTTCGCGTTGCACTAAATTTTTGATAACTTCCGCTATTTCACAAACTTTCATCAGTTTGTTGTAGTTGTGTGCTGATGTACGTGCAGCTCATTGCGCCTCGAATTGGCATGAAACCGTTGATCCAGAATATGCCTCAAAAATGGAACGGATGGCTGCTGAGGAGGTAAACTGATTGCTGACCTGTTGAAATTTTTCTCAGTAACTTATTGCTAGATGAGAATATTCACGGATTTTAGAATACATTGCAGTAGACGGGCCTCACTTTGAACTTTTACTTTATTTCATCGGACTTGGCAACCTTTCCCATTCTGATATTTGCTGAGCTCTCTACATGAAGGCACCCCGCCCCACGCGTTCAGAAATGATCAGCCGTGCGGCGCAAAGACTAATGGCGAGAAGAATAATAACACAAAAAACGCTTCATCTATAGAAACCCGTGCTGAACCGCGCCAGTGGGTGCATAAGGCGCTGACACGCGTGACAGATGGAATCGCACTTGCTGATGTCGGGTCTTTCTCCTTATCACATAATTCCAACCGAAACGGAGAAAACCGTTAGCAGAACAATCGCACCACCAACATATCGCTAGAAATAAAATTTGGGCGTTGCCGCAGCTATTGGGCGGGGCCGTGGCTTTCAGCAAATCACACTTTCCTTACCTATTTTTGAGCATCGGAAGTAGTACTGCTTCAGCTTCGATGGCTCTCTATGTCCACCTCACCGGCAGATGCGTGTCGCTCGAACTTGGGGGCATATCAAATGCTTCACTGAGGAGTGGGGGGATGGGGTGAAATTGGTGGCGAATTCAGTCAGTCTTATTCGCTGCTGACGCTGAGGCGTATCGGGGAGGAAGGGATGAGCTTGACGTGGTGCAAACTCGTTCTCCACCAATTGTTAAAGCGAGCAAGCGACTACGTTTGGTGGAAAACGAGCTGGCGCCGCCCCAGACCCGTCCCCACTTAACACGCCCCAGTGTTCGCAGCGAACAGGACTGCGGTTTCCAGCCCCGAGCAGTTCAAAAATATATTTCCCAATGAAACACTCCCCTAAGTTGCTTTGACTGTGCTCGTTTACATTATGGAGATCAGCCTAGCTATCCCACGCCTCATACTTCTACCTTTACCGGCTTCGAAGTACTACAGAGGTCAGGCTGGAAGAATGACACCACTACTATGGCCCCAGTTACAAGAGAATAATGCGTCTGTAGCAGCGCATGATTCTCAGGTAACTTCGTGTTCTTTCAGGCACATCCCGATTCTGGGGGAGTAGCAAGCATTCTTGGCACCGTCCAAGCACAAGCGAAAGCGACTCACAGAAACTGTAATGGAGCTCATCGGCATCACATTATCATCGTCGACCTTGATGGGGACGTCAGCTGAACCCTGTAGTGATTTCTGAATGCCTCATTAACGAGGCAAGCGTGGTCTTATCATAGCGAGCTGGAATTTTCGGACGAATCGGAACCTGACCACGGGTCGAGCTCACCTCTTAGGACTCTAGTCCGCGAGTCCGGGCATAATTTGTCGCACCGAGGCGCGGCATCGCGCGCGAACTAGCAGAGTATTACTTACCATTTGGTGAGCTCAGCTCCCCGTAGTACTGTCTGTTTATCAGTCGGGTCCTGAGGCGAACAATACTATTTGCGATGCTTCGTTTGCCGCACTTCGCATGTGCTGAACTAGGCGTACGAGTCCTGGTGACATGTCATAATTATAACGAGTCGGGTCCAGACGTAGTTCCTTCCTTCCACCCCCTCCTTCCAACCGCAGCGAAGACAAGCACATATGGGTGGCACTTTTTCGTCCATAGCTTCTTCTTCATCAAGCCGTACAGCAAAAATGGAGGTCAGACCCCCCCCCCTTACTCTAACTATTATGATTTTAAGGTGTTCACTGTATTAGCTTTTTTCAGTTAGAGCCGGAAGCAATCGACCTTCAACCTCAAGACAGACCCACTTACGACCCGATATGTCTGAATTGCAATGTAACAAAGAAAGAGGTATGGACAGTCCTCGAAACATTCACTGAACACAGTTCAACTTCTAATATCTAGATACCATCCGATCATTTCCAACTCTACCTCCATTGTCTCAAATATTCCACAGAGAAATGGAGTTACAGTACACCACTTCCTGAGTGGGCTATTCAACCGGAACCTTCGTAGTAGATGTCTTCGTGTCTTCATACAGTGCATGTTGTTATTTTGTTCCTTGCAATTGCAATGCAAGCAATTTCCTGAATTATAGTCGTTTTCGCTGCATGCGCTGGGCGTGTCAGCGGGCTGAGTCTAGAGCGACATTAGCCCGTTTTCCACCAGTTGTGGAAGCTGGCAGGCAACAATCCACCAATTATTGTTGCTTGCCAGCTCCCGCAATTGGTGGAGAATGGACTGGAGCGGCGCAAAACCCAGCCCCACTCCTGAAACGCCACAGGATGCAGCGGAAACGAGTGTATCATTCGTTGTTGATTGTTACATGGTTTTGAATATTTCGTTAACTTCATTTATTGTTGGTAATGTGATAATGATTTTGATCAACGCATAGAGGTACGACGAACCACGAACGAATTGGATGTTAGTGAACATATTCTTTCATAGCAAGATTTTGCACTTAGTGAATAAATTATTTCATGTAGGTAAAACGTCATTAAATTATTTCATGTAAGTAAAACGTCATCGAATAGGTAAAACTACTACGCATTCTAGGCAAGTTCATATGTCGAAGTGTCTGATCCACTTATAATCCGGCATTTTTAAAGACATTTTCCACTTCCATGTATACCTGAAAGGGAGTGGTTGGATTTTCGGGTGATTAATCATTTTCATATTACTGCGTTTATACTTCGCGGCAGCGTCCACTAGCGACCAGGAAATTATGGATATCGATCTTGTGAACGCCAGCGTCCACCAGCGTCCAGGAGTGTATGGGGGAAGTAGCAGGGAGCAGACAGCTGGATTAGGTGTTATGGTGCACCGTGCAGCTGCTGGAACATAGAATTGCGTCATCTAGTATACGTACTGGGTACCAGTTCGGCGCGCTTGCACTATTCACGACGCCTAATCCGGCAGTCTGCTCCCTCTTACTCTCCCATACTCTACCATCAGTCTGCTGCCCTCCTACTTCCCCAAACCCTTCAGTCCTGGACCCTGGTAGACGCTGGTAGCGCTACTAGATGCCCGTGGACGCTGGTAGACGTCGCTGGACGTTGGCGTTCACTAGATCCATACCTATACTTTCATAGTCGCAGGCGCTGGTGGGCGCTCGAAACGCTGTAGGGACGCTGCCACAAAGGAACGCAGCCCAATTGCAATCGGATAGCTCACCTCTTCGGGAGATTTATCGCTGGGTACTTCCTTAACAAGTCCTAATTTTTCATAATGTTGAATAATGGGAAGTGTTTGGTTATTGTATGTTTCTATTCGTTTTCGTAAAGACTCCTCATTGTCGTCTGTGCGACCTTGTCCTGAAAAAAGCAGGAAGTATAAAATTACTCGGACATAAATTTTAACCCCATTAGCATACAGCACGCCCTAACGTTCGAAAGATTTTGCAGGATACAGCCGTTCCTTCCAAAGTTTCCTTTCCCCGTAGGACCCACTTGCCTACACCACCGTTTTCCTGTGTTTTCCTAAACTTGATACCACTTGTCCACAATTTTTTTTTTTTTGAAAATCCTTCACATATTCCGCAAGGAAGAACTGGTTGTCGAAGTTGGGGTGGATTTATAGTACATTTGAAACGGGAAAAACGGAATAGTCAACAAGCGAAAACATTCTCTCGAAGGCAAGTACGACCCCGTGCACCCCAACGACAAAATACGATACCCTCGCTGGGGTTCTCCAACGTACGACGTGCCCTTCAGCATGCACTACTCACCTCTGTGAAGACACCTGGATATACAAACGTCAACTGGACACGAGAGGAAGAGGACAAACCTGACGTTAACCTGAAAAGATTGAGCATTTCGAGTGCTAGCATTTCACAGGGGTTGAGCAAAAAAAGTTACATCGGCTGTAGTCGGCTAATGGTGGAGAGTACTGCATGCAGATTAGCGCGCCTACCGCTAATCGCTCTACTACCGTTATGCGCGACCGGTTTCGCTACAGTTTAGCACTTTTTCATATTTAGTTCCGGGGCCCTTTTTGTCCTTATCAGTGAGCGTGAGCGAAGCGTTGAATTACTGATAATCTATCAGAACTGTGCGATGTTTATGTTGCAATGTAGCTGTGTTCCGGAAAAAAGAATATAGATCTTGTCTGACCCAACATTTCACTTTCATTGTATATGAGTACTGAGGCTATATTTCCTTCTGATGACAGCGTCGGTTCAAGCCCTTTCTCCTGACTGCACCCTTTGGGCTATGGGAATAGGTGGTACAGTGCGCCGAGGAGGAAGTCAAAACTTGCAATTCACTCGCTCACCACCCCCCCCCCTTCAAAACGCCCTCCTTCGGTGCAATGCCCTTCCCCATTTCCCCCGTCATTCCCCAACTTACTAAACTTTTTTTCAGAAAATTCCTTATCTTCCCAAAAGAGCTACTGTCAGGTGAGGTATATGTAGCATAGGTGAAACGAGAAAAAAAACGAACCGAAACCAAAAAAA